TATGTATGTATGTATGTATGTATGTATGTATGTATGTATGTATGTTTAATGGCTTCATTATTTACATTTCCGATACTTCTTTACATGCATTCTGCCACGCACCATGATAAAGTAAGTAATATGCCTTCTTACTTTTTCTCAGAAGTTCGGTCCACTTTTGGAATGCATCTCTTATTTAGGTACAAATATGTGATTGTATAACAGTCTATGCTCTTAATATGGATCACAAACTTATCTTTATTGCTTGCAAATTTATCCAATGAACAGGATTTATTGGCCTATTCAAATGCATTCTTACAAAGTGTACATTCTTCATGATATGTGTGTTCATTAAATGTAGTCAATTACAAACTATTGGCTCATTTTTCAAATGACCAGGTCCTTCCTCACTATGCTCATCATTCTCGCTATACATACTGCCTGTATCTTTATCGCCCTTTTCATGCCTAAGCTCATACAATCTGGCCTAACTTGCATTTTCTACTGTAGAGAGCGTTATTCTTCTTGCGCGCAGCTGATGTTGTTTGGCTTATCTGTGCACTATAAATATGCTATACAATTTGCTCAGTAGCTATCTTCTAATTTTATTGTTTCTCTAGATATTGCTCAAGTACCACCACATATCTCTTTTACTGTTGGGTATACTGGATAAATAGTTCTAAAATTTCTTACTTTTATTGGTGTTATTTTTAACCTGAAATAATTGGCTGGCTAGTAATAAGCGAGGCCTAAAGCTTGTTATACTTTTGACTAGTCTTATAATTAATCTTTAGGTTGTGAGCCAACAGGGAACATTTTTTGGCCTTTTTTCACCTCTTGCCTTGCCGATCGGATGCTCTTTCCAATCAAGCTTATATAATATTTATTTTCAAGCTTATCTGGCTAATTCTCCCAATAGTTTTATTCTGTTAATATTACGTATGTGGTGTGTATCCAAAGCCTAATTACAAACGAAAAATATTATGGATGTGGTTTGACCTCGTTTCTGCAAGCTGGTCTTGTTATTAGGGCGACTTATTTTGACGGATCATGTTCGAACTCCTCTTCTATAGTAGCTATCGTATTTCCAAGTATCGGACCGTCGACTTGATACATTTTAAGACTTTTCGCTGGCATCGTAAGTGAGTCTTGCCAGTCTCAGCACAAAGCTACAACTCGGCAAATAAACAAGTGAAGTCAATCCCTTGATCGACTTTCTGCCCAAATGGTTGGGCTATTACTCTCTCTTGTTTCACTTTCACCCTATCACAACTGACTTGTTTATATTCCACTCCTCAGGAGGTGTGCCCTTTTGGCGAGTTTAACGAGGCGTCATAACATCTGTTGTTTGCCTTGCTGCCCTCCTCTTCGAGTAATTGATCCGATTCGGGCCTCATACGGATTTGCCTCATGGGTCTGTGGATCCTTTTCTTATCTTTCTGGTTGACCGACTTCACTTAGTTACAGCATCATTGTACTTTTACTCCATGCAATATTTTTCAAGACTCCAGTAGTATGTGCAATGTCGTCTTACCTGTTGAGCACCTATGTTCTGATTCCCATTCTTGCGGATATTAGGCATTGCCTTCACTCGTGTTCTCCTTGATTAAGCCCATGCACCCTGAGCAAACTTTGCACTTCTATCTCTAATCGCCTGCTACCTCTCGAGTGGTTTTCTAGTCAAATTGGCTGTAAGACTGAATTTCTATGATGGTTATGATTTTTCCGCACAACTTGTCACTTGACCGTCAGGCCAGCAAAGTTGTTTTTCCGGGCAGACTATATTCACTTAGAACATCTCTTTATTTCCGAACCTTTCTTGCCCTCTTCTTCCTTTCGATCTCTTTTCCTCCGGATTCTTGATCCAAGTGTCTCCTTTTTGTTCGTCTTGACATTAGGCAATATGCAAAGTTATAGCCTACTCTGATTTCTTCCCCAAGGATATCAATGGGCTCCATAATCTTTCGTTTCTTTCTTTTCTTTCAGTGTCCATTTTCCTGCAGTATTTGATGTACCATAATTCGTACGCTTATTGTTTTCCCTCTTTTAATAAGATATTTCCGTTTGCAGATTGCATATTATGTAGTAAACTCTCGAGCAATCTAATATGTCCTCCCTCTCATGCTGCGTGGGTAGACTTATGAAGTGCTGTTTTTTTCTTCGTGGTCACCTGAATATGCCATTTTTTAAATACTGGCTTGGAAATATGATAATTACCATAGCAGAGGACTTCGGGCAAGGTGCGTCCAGCTAAGTCGCCCGGACAACACAACAAGTTGTGAAGATTAGGTCAGACAACATCTGTAAATCGAATGGAGACTAAGACCAAAATAGAGGCCTTATCTTGGCCTCCGTACCAACAAAAATATTTTAGTTGATTTCAAAACGCCAATCTTCTTCATAGTTATGGTTGAGGGAGAAATTGGAATTGGGGCAAGCATACGCTAGTTTGATACCTACATCACAGCCCTGATAAATAGTAAATTCACATGCGGTTACTTCTTCCATACTACTCTTCCTTTGGCTACTTTAAAACTGTTTTTTCCCAATCTTACGCTGCCAAAGTGCTAGATAATCATTTAAATATCAAATAAGTAATTATTGCGTAAATACTATATCTCCCATCAGAGGTTCCGACGCAATTATTGGCCATATTTAAAGTTAACCAAGTTTATATGTAGGAAAACTGGTTTTGAAGAGTCCATTGATCGAGTGGTGTTGGGTTACCCTTCATTTTATTTGAGGAGGCAGGTAGGGGTGGTAGCCTTGGAGTTTTGTATGTAGGTTTGTGTGAATGATGCCTCGGCTTGCTGTCCCGTGGCCCCGGCAAATCTTTACTGAGATTTCGTCTGTCATGTGCCGGACATCTTCAGAGCAGGTCGCCATGCTTTACGATAGTTCACCGAGCACAAATACAAGGGGCAGATTGCAATCCTACTTACTTTTATAGTTTATATATATCCACTTTCGGAGATATTTTATGATTTTTTGTTTATCCTATACTTTTCATACATGCTGTTAAAGAGTGAAGTGGCTGAAGATGAAGCGTAAACGGATGCAATTTTGATTGAACATCTGCATCCTCCCCTAAACCACTTATATTTTTAATCCTGCAATACTACAGCAGATGATCGCTTTCCATTGCACGTCTGCTGTACGAATGCAATAATCGTGAGACGCATGGAATGCGAGAGGGAAAACCAGATTTAAGGCTAATCAAGTTTCCTTGTTCGGCGGCACTTGTTACCTCAATCTCTTTTTATTTTATGCAACAGCCACAAATAGTTTCTTATACTCATTCCTTCTATTCAGGGTTTTGGCCCTTTTGTTAATTTCTATAGATTCCCTAATCAATCGTTTATTGGTATAGCCTCCATATCCAGCTAAGCGCTTGCTTTATACATATCTGTCTTTTATGTTCGGTCAGTTCTGACTTTTGAATAAATAACCCCTTGCAGGCTGTTTTATGTACGGATAACCTCTTAGGTATGGGTCTGCAGGTCTCTTCCACATAAACACAATACTTAATAGCGGTCCGAATTAGTGAGAGTCCCAAATTTCTAAAAGTAAAAAGATGGCATTACTGGGGCTTGTTATTTTCTCATACATTGCCATGATGTTGCACTTCCTCAGTAAGTCACCTATCTTTTTCGAGAGCCGACAGGACTGAAACATCAAGACCAAATTAGATGTGCTCAGCTGCCTATCTTGTCCCAAATATATGCTTTTCCTTATAATTAGTGGTTGTTCTTAACTTAAATTTTCATATATCGCATCAGTTCCTATTCCCAATTATTGAAATTTGCAAGACATAGGCTCCTTATTATCATGAATTTCATAACTACTATGTTAACCCCATAAGTATAGCTTGAAAATAAAT